GTGTGGTTGAATTCGTATTCTTGGCCATAGATGGCGCCACTGCAAAACAAGAAACACACCCTCTGCCTTAAATTAGCTCGGCTTCACTAAGTAGGCTCGCTGGTATTGGCAAGTAGCATTAGAAAAAACAACAACAAGAAGACCAGTTACATTTAGTTCCTAAATGTTATTTGTTTACTTTTTTTAATTTACTAAATCTTTGAAAGTAATAACGCAAATCAAAACATATTTTTACTCAATACTAGCACATGTGTCCTTTTTAATTTGTTATCTAAAGATATTTCATACAAAAAATCATTTAAGTAAATTCTTTTCTAATTATTGTAATAATTGTCGAAAAAATTTAAACTTCAATTTATTAAACTCTTTAAACTATGCAATTTTAAATAGTGAGTTATAAAATTATTATTGAATTGTTACCGAGAGTGAAAAGACATTTCAAAATATCTTATTTTTGAATTCGTATTTTTCAGATTTTGTTTCAATCCAATCATGAAAGAATATTCGATTTTTCCATTTAAAATTAGGTAATGCCAGTGAGTAAAAAAATAGTTAAACCTTACTATTATATTATCGATCTTCTTTAAAAATGATAATAAATAATTATTAAAAATCTTATCTCACATGATCTCATTCCTTTAACATGATCACATTCATATTTGTCATCGTCAGATGAATTAGTCTTGCAAACAGAAACAAAAAATCAATTGATACGCGCAATTAGTTTCAATGATACGGAAGAATACACAAACAAAATGTTTTATACAGAGGATGTATACAATAGGAAGTTGATTGAAACCCAAGTAATAGTAAAAATATTTTACATTAATTAATCAAAATGTGACATCCAGTTTTGGAAATTCACTGAAAGAATTCTGGATCAAATTACGTTGAAAAGTCAGGGTGCAGTACTTTTTACAGCACAAATCCTTTATATCGCAAAATTTAACTTAACAAAAAAATCTGACAAATCGCAATTTTTATATGACCCGTAAGAATGATAATAAGATTTCTTACGGATATAAATAACAGCAAAATAAAAGTCAGAATATACAATAAGCACATTAGTCATCAGTTTCGGATCATTTGTTCATCAGTTTAAATTATTTCTTTTGAAAACTAATTAAAATTTCCAAAACTAAACCTGTTTAAATTTAAATTTTGGTTTTTAAATCCAAATGAGATTTTTAAAAAAATGCATAAGGACAATTATTTTCTTCCCTAATTACAGAAAAATTTGCATATTTAAAAATAAAAAGTGTTATTAGGATGAAATTTTGCAATCGTCGATTTTCATCCTGACATTAAAATGCGGCTCAAAGGAACTAATCTTTCTGATTCTGAGAAAGATAAAATTGTTGCTTTTCGAGAATGTGTGCATGGGAAATTTCAAAAGGAATCAAGGATCTAAAACAGTCGTTAATAATTTTCTAAAAAATCATAGAGTGTATGGCATGAAAAAAAAGAACTGGAAGACCAGAAATTTGCACTCATCGACAGAAAAAGAATAACCGTCCGGAAAACTTGCCAGAAGAAAGAAACTGCAAATGAAGTTAGACGAAATTTGAATTGACCATTTTCATCAAGGACTGTTTAATATGTTTTAAATAAACATCTTCATCTTTTTTTTATGTGTCACGTACACTTCTTACAAATCAACATAAGAGAAGACATGTTGACTTTATCAAAAATGGACAGATCATTTTTTCTGACAAAAGAAAGTTCAACCTTGATGAACCTGATGATTTTCATTATCTTTGGTATGATCTGCAAAAGTGCTTTCCGAATGTCAATATGGTGGTGGCTCAGTGATGGTTTGGGAAGCTTTTGCGGCAAATGGAACCACTCCAATGGTCTTTATCAATAGTAAAATTAATTCCGACAAATATGTCGATATGTTAGGAGAAAGTTTGTTACCTGAAGCGCCACTGATTACTTAAATGGACTATATTTTTCTACAAGATAATGCTTCGATACACATTACTAAGAGAGCAAAACCTTTGTTTGAAGCTTATTCTGTGAATTTAATTCATTGGCCAGTGAGGAGTCCTGATCTTATTCCAATCGAAAACTTATGGGGACTTGTAGCTTGAGAATTAAGTTCATAAAAATTGCGCAAAATATCAATGCAACAGGATCTTGTCTTCGCTATCAAGTAAGCTTAGGAAACAATTTCCGTGGATACTTTAAGATATCTTTCAGGATCCATGACCTCTCGGCTTACTCAAGGGATTTTATTTTATTTTATAACCGTCGTTGAACAGCCGACCCAATTTCATGGGTTTACGACTACTTACGTTCAACTCCGTAGCCTTGTAATTTTGAACCAATCCAGAAGACAAGGTAACTCCTGGATCAGTACCCCCAGAGGTATTGATTTGTTGTGGGAACATGGAGGACTTTGAGACTCGACAGATTTAACGTGCATCAGTCACCATTTACTACACGGAGAGTCTTCGGCCGGCGAGGATCGAACACACGACCGCTTGGATATGGGCCCAGCGCCCTACCGACCAGGCTATCCCGGCCCTTTACTCAAGGGATTGAAAAAAAAGATATCCAACCTAAGTATGAAATTAATTTTAAAAAATTTTCAAAAAAAAGTCACAGTCAGTTTCTCTTTTTACCACTGTCTACAGAAAGGCTCCAGTGTGTTAACAGACAGTGTGTCCCCTGATGAAGTGCTGCTTTTGTTAATATCTTTAGAATTTCGTTTTTGCTTGTTTTTAGTTTCTAACTTATATTTAAATTGAAAAAAAGTAGTTTTCCTGATTATTAACGAAAATTTTAAGTATTAAGAAGCATGTTCTTAAATTTTTTTCCCATATATCCGTTAGTGTTAATTTTTGTAAAATCCCTATTTTTAAACCAAATTTTATTTTTTATGCGCTATAAGTTCACAAAATTATGCAACAGTCAAATATATAATAGTTTAATTTAGATGAAAAGAAAATAAAGCATACTTTCATTTAATTTAATGTTGTCCTTATACTCTTTCACGCACTGTATTATTAATGCTATACAGTAAAAGTAATATTTTTGCTAAAGTGAATTCGCTTAAAGAAATTTTAAGAAATAATTGTTTATTTACTTTTAGTTACCACTAAGTTTGATTTAAACTATTAAAAATTACGTTAAAAATTGCGTTTTTGAATGGTAAAAAGGGTTGAGATTTACCTATAATTTATATTAAAGAAAGAATTTTTTACGGCTCTTATGACCCTCAAAACTAAAATGACATATTTCTGAAACCAGCTTCTTGAAATATTTAGATAGGTGGATTCGTTATAATATAACTGGAAAGCATGCGACATTTTTCCAACGAAAAACTTTTGCGGTATCTTTTGTTTGTCATTTTAAGTTGTGGTATCAAAACGAAAAACGTGAAGCGCAAAAGCAAAAAAAAAAAAAAAAAAAAAAAAAAAAAAAAAAAAAAAAAAAAAAAAAAGGCTTTTAATTTAAAGAAAAAAACTCACACACATTTTTATTGTGTTTTTTCTCCTGTGTTCTTTTTATCAAGCTTTTTTTTCTCTTAAAAAATACTTAAATGCATGAAATAATAAACTTGTATACGTAAATTATTTAAGTAGAATTAAGAATGAATAAAACAATTAAAATATTTAGCTTGTTTTAGTTTAATCAGTATTTCATAAATTGAATTATTCAAGACAAATTTAAATTTATTTGCATCACAAAATAAATTTAAACAAAACTTCAAATATAAGGAAATTTATTATTTTATATGATGATATAATAAAATATTTTTATAATATTCAAAAGATTAAAAAATTTGATGTCAAATTTTTAATTTATTTTTGTGCACCACTAATTTTTAAATCAATATAACGGCTTAAAATATTATAAATTTTGAAAAATTAACAATGCATTTTTTATCAAAACAAATGTAGAAAATATTTTTAGAAAACTGAAAATTACTAAAATATTATATTTTGCTTTTATTTAAAAAGAAAACTTAACTAAAAGAAATCCTTCACACACACAATGTACAAAAAAATATGAAAATCGTATTAGGATTAGATAGAGGACTAGGTTTTCAAATTAATCAATATTTTTCATTATGCAGAGTGTTTAGTTAAAACCATCCTTTATGTGTATTTTTAAACTCTTTAAAAATTCAAACAAAAGATGTTTGCGATGGCAAATTTGAGCAAAGAAAAAAACAAAAATGCGATTGAAATCTGACAAATTTGAGTAGATGGTTTAAATACCTTATAGTTTAAATACCTTTCAATTAGGTTTTATTACCAGAATTATGCTGTTGTTGTTTTTTTAACCAGAAATATCTGTATAATCGGTACGGGAATTTTATCAGAATATTTTTCTCCATGTACATAAATGCAAAAGTTCTTAAAAAAATCTTTAAAAATTTAAAGAGTGATAATGAGTAATTTTTAAAAGTCTTTCGTGCAAATTCTAGTAAATATCTGAACTATTCAAAAATGTTCGTCATTATACCGTGACTAAGAGTATTTTCAAATAAATTTGAGATTCTTTGCAATAGAAATCAGAACAGTAAATAAATAAGCTTTTTTCAAATGATATGACCACCACTTTTCAGTTTTTAACTAAAAATTGATTCATAGCGTTTCTAACTCAAATGCTAGACAATTCCATTCTATTGAACTTCGCGAGCATCATATTCATGATAAATAAAATTAAATTTTGAACTTCAGTGTGAAAAATGGAGCTTATAAAAATTTTATTTGAAAACTGAGAAAAAGCTACCAGGAATCGTTTACAAAAAAGAGAGAAAAAAACAATTACTCCCACGCAATCACTGGTAACAAATGTAACTTTGTAAGAACAATTTGCAATAGGGGGTATCGTTAATGGTTGGTTTTCACTTTCTTTTTCCCGCCCTTTTACGTCATCTTGTCGTGGCTGACGCCCTCTGTGGCCGAATTTCGAAACCCTGCAAGAATCTTATGATCGAGGTGTGCATGAAAAAGAATATCCGATGTCTCCAACCAGATACACACCCAAGATGGAGGTTGACAAAATTTAAGAAAGGGGTCAAAGAGGAGACAACAAGAAAAAGAAATTGCGTTTTAGTATAAAAGGAAGATTCGCTTTCAAATCAGCATCACAACTCCTCTTGGATTATCACTTCTGTGCATATTCATAACTTAGAGAGATGTTTACCAAGGTAAGTTTTGTTAAATATGTATTCAAATAAGGAAATTTTCAAATAAGTTAAGTATTCAAATAAGTTATGTCAAAACTTAATATTTAAATTTTCAAATAAGTCATGTCGAAACTTAATATTTAAATTTTCAAATAAGTTATGTCAAAACTTAATATTTAAATTTTCAAATAAGTTATGTCAAAACTTAATATTTAAATTTGCTTTTTTCAAAAGAAGAATAGTTTCATTTCTAAAGATTAACTATTGCTTTCAAAAAATTACTAAACAATTTAATTTTAAAATAACTTTAGATCAACTTTTAATTGATAAAAACAAATTATAGTCTAAATAGAAATTTAAAAAATTCTTTATATATAGACCTAGCATAACGAAATACTACAAAATAAATCCTAAACATTATTCAGGCTATGTGAATGCAAATAAATAATATCGAAATGATTCTGCTAGAATTAAAAATACTATTCTACTTGCTTGCTTTTAATACCTTAAAAACTAAAAGTATTAGATTAGTAATTTTAATGTTTTTTAAATTTCAAAAATTAATTGCTCTTAAACAGTTTTAATATTTTAAAATTATGATTCATATTTTAAACTTTCAACTCATCTGAAAGTTGATAAGTTATTTTAGTATACTCTTTCATTAATTATCAAAATTAATATTGTATTAATATTGCAAAATTATTGCATAATAAATAATAACTCACTATTTACATAAATGTAATAAAGTTACAGAAATATAACAAATGCAGTGAAATTATGATAAATAACTACTTATTACATTCGGTTCTGTTAAAATATTAGATAATTAATTATTTACGGGTTTTGTATTTAAAAAATTTTAAAATATGCAATTTTTTTAACTTTTTTAACGCCTGAATAGAATTAACTATATATCTGGTGCAAAGCAGCATAAATTTTAAAACTACATAACATATTACTTTGTAGTATGTACACTCTTACTCAGTCTTCTATTATTTTATTCTTAGTTTTAAGTAATTATACATTATAATTATTATAAAAATATGCAACTACAAAACTCTAAAAATAGTATGAAAAATTAAAAAAAATCGTCTTTATTCAGTTTCACGAGTTGAAACTCACTCAACGAAGTATTTTAATATATTCCTATTTAAATATTTGTACATTGATAATATCTATGATTCTGATATGTAGGAATCAAAATACGAAAGAGTTATGCGTTAGCACATTTCGAAGCAACTCACTTCAAAACAAACTATTTAAAGTAAATTTGTTAAAGTAGATGACAAGTTAATTGAAAATTTTAAATTTGAAAGAATCTAGATGATGGTATAAGCACTTGACAAAAAATTATCCAGTATCTTACAACAAAACTTCTGATTAAATTATAGTATTCGTCTTTCTTCACATATAATTTCAACAAAATTTTACTTTTAAAGTTTATCCTACTAATGATGAAGAATTTTTTTCAATAAAATAGCTTTACGTAATCATGAATTCTGTTTAAAAATCGGTTGTAGTCGTTCAACATCAGTTTTAGCTTGTAAAAATTATTCTCTCACATTGCATCAATAATAATAATTCATTCCATAAATTTATAGAGGGCAGCATTATGCATTTATGCAAATCAATCATTAAATTTCTTAACAAATAAATCATCTATTAGATTTAAATTTTGCTTAATAATTTGCTTAAAAATAAATGGAAAATTCATACGGTAAAAAATTATTAATTCGAAGAATTTAATTAGAAAAAAATTCACAAACATACAACTTTCTTCAATTAATATGCTTTGACTATAACAACGTTTCGATTATATGCTAACAGATAGCAGCACCATCAAAAATTCGATGACGAGAGGGAAAAAAAACTTATGAAAATGTTTGAAATATAAAATAAATATTTATATTTTTCATTTTCAATAATGTTACGGATGTTACAGATCAGCGATTTTCAGAATTTTCCTGTTTAGAATTAAATTTGTTATTTAATAACAGCTATACATTTTATCAAAATATAATCATCTCTATAAAAAAAAAAACATTCTTCACATATCAGTGCATTATTGAGCTAATGAATTTTATGTTATTAGATTTTGCTTGAAAAGCATATTTCACCATATGTTAATACAAATAATACAAATTCCATTTATGTACATTATATTAATGAATATACTGAACTGAAATAATTTTTTATAGGCTCTTGTTTGCTTGTTTGTTGTTGGTTGCACTTTTGCACAAGATTATTCTGATGACCAGAATGCCAGGGAACAACAGTTTGCACCAAATTATGCTCATCAAGGATATAGAAATGATATATACGTAAGTTTATTGCAAGTATTTCTTTTTAAATTCTTCATGAAAGGATTCTTTTTGGTTACTCTTCGATTTAATACATTTTTCCTTTTAAATTTCTAATTACATCTATAAATGTCTTTAAAGTTCAGAGCCTAAAAATTGCACCATAAGACTGTTTGCCACAATCCTTTTCCCAATGAAAATAAAATAACCTAAGTTTGGTGTTTTACACTCGAGGCAAAGATTTAATTTTAAACTAGAAATACTGTTTTTCTTTAAAGAGTTTATTGGTGTTTAAAACGAACAAATGGTTAAAATAATTGAAAAAAATTGAACTTAATAAATTTAATTGATGAGACGTTTCCACCTAGATGAAACTCATTAATATATATAATTCTCAATTTTCACGTATTTTTAAGAGCACAAACAATGCAGAATTGGAGTAAGTTTTCAAATATTTAAAAATTAAATCATAAGCGTATATTATTTATAAAAATAACTAAAAAGATTGCCAAAATGTAACCTAAAACTTAATAATAACTATCATTAATTCACAATTATAAAATATATGTGTTATTAATTAAAGTTTAATTAATTGAAAAAAAATTTTACGTTTCTTAGAGTTATTGAGTTTTTAAAATAAAAAAAAATGTACCTAGTTTGGCAATTTTTTTTATTGAATGCTATATTTGCATCAGCCAGTTAAAACAGGAAAAAATAATTGTTTCAATAGTTTTAGATTTTTTTTTTTAACTATTCACGTCAAATAATATTTACCCATATTTCCAAGTATACTAAAATTACTGAACAACTAAAAATCATAATAATTTTATTTTCATAGATTTAAATTTAACTTACACAAATATTAAATTATTACCAATCATTTTATATTCAGAAGAACCACGTGCAGTACAAAATTTGAATTGATTTTATGATTTTATTTTGGTACAAAAATTTATCAAATTATTTTCTCAAACAAGTGATTGAGAATGATCGAAAAAGCAAACGATATGGATAAATTTCTTTTACAAACAAATTCACTCTTTTATGATAAGTTATAATGATAAGTTTGCTTTTACTAAATTTCCCTTAATTTGATTTTATAATCAAAAACTTCTTTTTTGTTATCTTTGGTGAAAGATAACTGTTAAAGTTGTCGGGTGTTTTTGAAAATTTTAAAATCTTCATAAATTACACACTTTTTGCAAAATATTTTTTTAAATGTTGAAATTCTAGTAATTTTTTTTAAGAAGTAAACTTAAGTATTACTTCATTTCACGTATTACTCATTTAATTACATTAAATTTCAGAAATTTAGCGATTCGGAAATTTAAATTCCATTAAGGTTCACGAATAATAACTCTCTAACAAATACGGAATAGGATTATCAGTTTGATATTCTAATATTTAATTTCGCACAATTTATTCCTTTTGATTTCACCCAATTTTGTTACTTTCACTTACTTTTTATAAAAAGACTAATAACTTCATCTTTAAAATTCTGTCCATCTTATACCTTTACCCATATAATTTTGTTTCAGTTTTTGTGCTATAATTAGTAATCATTTGAATCGGACAAAAGCATTGACTAAATTTCAAAGAAGTTTTGACTCCATTAAATTAAATAATAAGACAGTCATACATTTTTATATAATTTCAGTATGTTTTAAATATGTCTTTAATATGTATTTTTAGTCAATGTATATTTGCATCATATATTTATTCAATATATATATTTTTGTTATATATTTATTCAATTCATATTTTTCAATAACTTTAACAAATATGTAGCTAATATCGAAAAGATTCTTGATCTTAATTGGGTTTTCTTTCTCGTTATGATTTTTTTATTATCATTTAAAGTGTTACAAGTATTTATTAATAAGTAATAGTTTTGTATTTTTAAGTTTTGCAATACAGTCTCTAAAAAAGTAAGTTTTTAGACAAACTTTTAAAAAAATTTCAATTGCTGTATAAAAATGTTACATTTATTTCTATTCTATACCACTCATTTTTGACACACTTCTCACCAGTCTATATTAAATTTACCCTAAAATTTAATAAAATGAAGCATTTTTTTAAAAATTTTGCATTTATTTCTATACTATACCACCCATTTTTGACACACTTCTCACCAGTCTATATTAAATTCACCCTAAAATTTCATAAAGTGAAGCATTTCTTTAAATTTCCATTAATTTCTAATTTGCAACTGTTCTGTAATAATATTAAAAAGTACGTTGGTTATACTGTTCGTACTAAAGTGAAGCATTTAGCTTTAAAATATAATCCCTCTGCAAAATCACTAAATTTCAATTTGGTTTGACAATAAATATCAATTCAGACATTGAAGAAACTGTTGTTTAACTTTCAGGAAACAGGTAAAGCAGAGCCATACGATTTCGGCTTCCAAAGCACCGATGAATTTGGAACCATTATGAACCGAAAGGAATCATCAGACAGCAACGGAGCCGTCCGTGGTAGCTACGGTTATACCGATCCATTTGGTGTTTTCCGACATGTCGACTACGTTGCCGACGAATTTGGATTCAGAGCTGAAGTTAAATCTAACGAACCAGGTATGGGAACCCAAAGCCCCGCTAATGTTCAAATCTATGCCGAGCCTCCACCCGCTGGTGTCATCGTTGAGCGACCATACTACCATCCACATGGATACTTACAAGGTGGACAAAATGGACAAGCCTCAGCTCAACAACAACAGAAAAGAAACCCAACTGCTTCAGGTAGCAACCAATCTCGTCAAGTAAGGCCAGTGTCTGGATCTTCCGGATCAAGAGGTTCAGGATCAACATCAGGAAACAGAGTTGCTGTCTACCCCTACGTTGCACCTCAACAAAATGCTTTCTCTTCTAACGCTCTGAGCACTAGCCAATACCCACAAACTGTCAGCAGCCAGTATGCAGCCAACGCAGCAGCAGCTTCTGCAAGTGGTAGCCAATACTCTTCCGGATCTGCCTACCAATCATCAGCCAGTGTTTACCCAAGCAGAAATGCCTATTTAGATTCTCAGAGCTATGCTTCCCAATCTGCCAGTCAGCATAGAGCATCAGCTGGATCTTCCTCCGCCTCCAGTGCTCAGCAGCCAATTGTTGCTAAACCTTATGATGGACCCACATACAAAGTTGGAAACCCACACATAACTGATCTTTCCCGAAGTGAAAGACAAGAAAGTGGAACCATTTTGTTACCAACCCTCGTTACAGGAGGAGCTCCTACAACTTTAGTTAAGCACATCCACACTTACCCATCTGCTCAAGTAGCATAAGCAGTTAGCATTTGAGGGATCTGGTGATTATCCTCATCAGGATGGTAATTAAAGCACTTTAAGTTGTAAGGCTGATGATTAAGTTATTTGGACAGTTAAATTTCCTTTGTATATTTGGACAATTAATTGTAATTGCAAGTGTTACAACGGTGCTATTTTGTCCTTTAATTTATTGTATTTATTCGTATAGGTTGAGGATTTTTTTTTTATTATTTGCATTATTTTTATGTTAAAGATAATTTAAAAACATACTCTGTATAAAATTGCAAATCAAATAAAAGTCTAAAGTTTGTAAATGTTGTATTTTGTATTTATTAAAATGTAGTAGTGTAAGTTACCATATTTAATAAATGGATGAGCATAGAAACGCTTCTTTATTTTATTTCTTGTTTCACTGAAATAGAATCGGAATACAAACTATAGTTAATGTACCACGAAATTTTAATAAATAAAATAATTTTGGCAATTATATGTCATAATTTAGGCTCTATTTCGATGCTTTATTTTTACCTTAGGAAAGATGGACAGTAAAAAACTTTTGATTAAGAAAAATTCTTACTAAGTTAAATGCCAAAAATAATGTTAGCAACCTACAGCCTATCCATATATCTACAGCCTATCTATATATTTTACTTTTGAAACCCTTGCGTTAATGTTACATAATGCTACATAATAGCAACGCTTAGAATAATCTCATTTGAAAACATTTTGTAACTTATATTCATCATCATCATCATATTTGGCCAGACAGCCCAATAGGGGCCAATGCCTTCCTCTGAAGATTTCACCATAATGACTTCCAATTTATCTTTGATCACCAATTCTTTTCATAAATTGCAAGAAAATCAGACTCCAACGCATCAGCCCATCTCCGCGGCTTTCCCCGCTCTCTAGGTCAAAAATCCAATTTTTTTTATTATTATTATTATATTGTCATCACTAATTCGAATCATGTGGACCACTCAATTCATTCCATTTATTTTTAAGTATTTAATAATATCAGGTTTTTTATAAATCTTGTTCAATTTAAATTTAAATATCCTTCTCCAGTCATTGTTTTCATTTACACTACGAAGTATTCTCCGCAAAATCTTTCTCTCTAATATTGCGATACAATTTTCCTCCAGTTTCGTCATCCTCCATCTTGTTACGAAATCCATAATTTATATTAAACCATTTATAACTAAAATGAAAACAACAGTTGCTTTATTTTAAAAATAAACTCGCAAAAATCCACAAAAAACAAACAACGACTTAAAAAAATCTGCTTGAAATAGCACCATTAAAAACAAATGCACATCAGTGTATTAAATTAAATTTTAATTTAAAATAAAGTAATACCTTATAACTTTCTGTGTTGTTTTCAAAAATAATTTTCATAGAAGTAATCCTCCTGAATTAAATTTTATTTCAATTTCGAGGACTTTAATCAATCTCTTTATTAAAATAAATATTGAATCTAGATGTATTCTTAAAATAGTGACTAATCATTCATAAAAAAAATTTAAAAAAACGTTCCTTTTAAAATTATTACAGGTAATTAGTGTTTAGATTAATGTGTACATGGTGTTTCTCTAATTTGAAAGCAAAAAAAAACTTGCTGGGTTATTTTAAACCTCCTACTGCTTCGAATTTTAATGGACTAAACAAACTATTAAAAGTGATTCCTGATTGTTTCGGCACGCTTTGAATAACATCTTGAACAAAAGTGTGAATGAGTGACCCACTTTTTTAAGAACTGGTTAAATCCTTAAGAAATATTCTACTTAATACCACGGAAAAAAATTTAGTTGTTACTAAGTTCTTCATGGCTAAAATTCTATAATAATGATAAAGGTATGATCATATTATAAATGTTAAACACAATGACATAAATAGTGTTGGTAACGATTTTCAAAATGTGTAGCAATAGCAGAGTATTGGAGCCGGTAATTGAAATGTTCGACTCCTGCTCCAGTCTTTCTTGAGAACTTAATTCCAACGCCAACTGCGGATTATATTCAATTAAAATTTCCGAAGAATCTCAGTAATGTAATGCTGTTAAATAATTGTTGATTTCAAATTATATATTTCTATTTTTTTATTTACAAATAAATTAAAAGACACTTTATATAATATTGCACTTTGTATTATAACACAGCGATTGAAGAAATAAATTTTAAGAAAAATATATTTTTAAAAAATATTGAAATTGTGCAAAACATTACAACAAAGGAACTACTAATAAATAATTCCCTCTCACATAAAAAGAAACTTCCTCTAAGAAAAATGTTTATTGATTTATTCAGGAACAAGAAAATTATTACAAATAATAAGCTAAATTCACTCGCATATTTTCATTCACTTATTAACTTATCTAAATTTGATTTTGGAATTAAGAAATTAAATTGTATAAATAAATTATTAATTATAACTTATTAATAATCTATTCATTAATCTTAATTTTTCAATAGATTAACGATTTTCTGCATTCCTTTTTAATAGTTCGATTAAACAGAGGATCAAAAACGTTCGAATGTGTTTAAACTTAGGATGAGTATTAATTTAAATATTTATTAATATATTCATTAGAGTATTGTATTTGCTTACATATGGAGTAAACAAAATAATTTTTATAAGATCAAAATCTTTTTTTTTCTCTTTTAATCTAAAAGGATCTAATTTTTAAATAATCGGAGTTGAGCAAAATATTTCAACTCCAATTCCTGTAAAAACCAACTCCACAGCTCTTCAGGAATACAAACATTTAAGATTAATTCGTAAATTATTAATTTTATTCTTTTTGCTATAACTACGTTTTTAGTATCCTGCTTCCTGTTCCTTAGGGTGGTATCTCACAATCAAATTATCTTCCACTTTCTGACAAACAAGAACACTTAAATCTCTATCCAAGATCTATGCTTGATGTCAGTAACAGAGCAATCTAACAGCTAGCTAACAATGGACTATGCTTATATGCTAATAATGCTTATAGCTACAAACAAAGTTTATTGCTTTAATATCGTCAAAGAGAATTTATTATCAATCGATGGTAAGACCCCTTTAAGATCAGCTAATGTGCTTAAATTTAAAATTCCTATGTTATGACATTATTTTCTGAATGCTGTAAGCAAGTATCGTCATTTTATCGCTAATTACATTATAGATCACTGTCCGATCTAAGCTATCTAAGTGGTCTAAGTTATCTAACGCAAAACTAAAAAGAAAAAAGCAATAATTTAAAATTAAAATTTTAAAAACTACGTTTTCTAAGTAGACTGGAAGGAAGAAAATAGCTTCATATCAATCAAACCGAAAATTCCGTTCATGTTTTTCGAAAGCGATGAACACTTCTGTTATGTCTGACAAGCATAAAATTGTTTTCTTCTCTTTAATAAACACAAACAAGTAGTTTTTAAGCTTTTCGCCTTGTTTTGTTACATTTCTTACTAAACATTTCATCAATTAACTACGATAAATGAAGTTTAATCAACAAAAAAAATTTCATTACTTAAGTAATTCTTATAACCGGAAATGCTGGAATTTTCCCCTAACTTTAAACTTCTATGAATATTCATTCAATTTTTTTTTTCAATTACACGCATGGTTATTTTTTTCCTTGTCAATCGTTTTACGAGTGTTTACATTTCTAAATGTTCTGTTTGATAGTTATCAGCAGTTAATTTTTTATCTTTGAATTCTATCAATAAAATCGCCAAGATGGTCGTAAAAGCAGGGCTTATTTATTAGCTGACCTTGTCGTGTACCAGAGCATTCATCAGAATGTGAAACTGGAGATGCACGCAATTGTCCTACTTATCATAAGGATGGCACGAAAACGACAAGGGCTTTACGTTCGAAAACTTTTAATGACAAATATCAATATGTAGTATCTGAAAATCATGAAGTAAAACGATCAATTCTTACTCTATTTTGAATTGAATTTAATAATTTAAATTGAATTGTTACGTTTGAAAATGTGATAAATAAATTTTATAAAATTTTATAATAAATTTAAATTTTACGAAATTTAAGTTTTATTAGTCAGTAAAATTCTATTGAGTTTAAAGATTTAATTAAATTCCACTTATAAAATTTAATAATTTCAATCAAATTAATTATGCTGAATTTAATAATTGAGTTCCTTGTTAAATTTAATATTTATTAAACCTAATAAAATTAATTCGTTTTAAATTTAGTGAATTAATAGAATAAATTAAGTAATGAATTTTAATAGATCAAAATTAATGAAATTATTTCATTCAAAAGATAATGAAATTTAGCAATTAATAAAAAATTATAATGATCTATCAAATTTATATATATATATNATTTATCACGGCCAAGAAGCAATTCAATATAAATATTGCATCCGTTAAAAACAATTGGTAGTTATGGATTTTTATTATTCCCGGAAAAAAACTGAAAAGTGAAATTTATTTGTTACCAGTTTTTACTCCGGTGCGCCGCCCGATGAGACAATCTAGCGTGACCCTCCGGTGGGTCACCCCGGCGTGAACGTGTTAAATACGAAAATAAAAAATTAAATAAATGTTTGAAAACCTGAAGAGTTGACAACCCGCTTTCCAGTGTACATATGTAAATAATTTCTTAACGTGTATATATTTATTATTATTCTCTTCGTGCCTTTTTCATAGCTAATGGTTTTTTTTTTATCGTGTACTATATTATTTAATCCAGACTGCGTATTTTATTACGCCATATATTTTTTCGATTAAACACTTTTTCATTTTATATGTTATACGCTTGCGTAACCACCTCACCACTTTTCTTCCCTAATGATTCTACAATTTCGATAGAAGTGTGGAAGAGTAGATAGCCCTTCTGGCTAGGAACACTAAAAACATAGCTTAAATCTGTAAATCGGAAGAGTTGGCAGTTATATATATATATATATATGTATATATAGGTTCTATTGACAACACGAATATATACTGGCCATGAACAAAATATTTTTTTTAAGTCTTATTAAGTATCTGTTCTCTAAAACTACAGAAATTTTCAGTTAAATTTTATCGCAATCAGTCAAAAGAAACATTTTTTCTGCTCGCAAATAAAATCTGTAACCATTAATACTTATTGCATCTCTTGGGTACAGATTCTTTCAGTTTTGAATATGAAAAATTTTAGCATCAAACCGGCAATAAAAATTTGATACGTTGAAGCAGATTATTTCTTCATCATTTGCTAAAAAGTGTTATCGATTACTAATATCTATAATAAGCAATTTCCAGAAATACAAATTACTAGCTA